TCTGGACTGGATACAGACTGGATCTGGGTGGCTACGGTGACCTTGGAATAAGAATAAGGGTACATTGTATGTTATGGGAAGTGTTCCTGCATGCATTGTCACATGCATTGTGTGTATTTGACAAAAATAATATCACACATTCTCCACAAATGTGGCTTGTATGGAAAAAGCCACTCCTCAAGAAAGGCCACATGCAGTCACGACTGAGCTTTGCCAAACGCATCTTGAAGATTCAGAGGCAGATGAGACTAAAACTTAATTATTTGGCCACAACGCCAAATTGTGCCGTCGACGAGGTCTTCGCAGGGGATCTGTCTCTGGGGCACATCTAGTTGACGTGGTCTCCACTGACATTCAGGACTGTAGAGGTCGTCTCTAGGTGCTGATCCACCATCTGGACTGGATACAGACTGGATCTGGGTGGCTACGGTGACCTCGGAATAAGAATAAGGGTACATTGTATGTTATGGGAAGTGTTCCTGCATGCATTGTCACATGCATTGTGTGTATTTGACAACATCACACATTCTCCACAAATGTGGCTTGTATGGAAAAAGCCACTCCTCAAGAAAGGCCACATGCAGTCACGACTGAGCTTTGCCAAACGCATCTTGAAGATTCAGAGGCAGATGAGACTAAAACTTAATTATTTGGCCACAACACCAAACGATATGCCTGGCGGAAACCCAATACAACTCACCATCCAAATAACACCATTCCTACAGTAAAACATGGATGTGCTGATATCCTGTTATGGGGTGTTTCTCTGCAGCAGGGACTGGAGCACTTGGCAGGATAGAAGGAAAAATGGATGGGGCAAAATACTGTCAAATTCTTGAGGAAATCTGCTGCCCTCTGCCAGAAAGTTGTCAATGGGAAGAAGGTTTACCTTCCAACATAACAATGACCCAAAGCACACAGCAAAACTGACCACAGTGGCTAAAGAAGAAAAGGTGAATGTCCTTGCATGGCCTAGTCAGAGCCCAGACCTAAACCACATTGAAAATCTCTGGAATGATTTGAAGACTGCAGTCCACAAACTGTCACCATCAAATTTAACTGAACTTGAGAAGTTCTGCAAAGAGGAGTGGACAAATATTACAAAGTCTAGATGTGCAAAGTTAGTAGAGACATATACCAACAGACTAAAGGCTGTAATTAAAGCAAAAGGTGGTTCAACAAAATACTGACACAAGGGGGTGATCCTTTTTCAACACAGTGAATGTGTTTTATTTTTTTCTGACATGTTGGTGTTATATCTTTCACTTGGATGTTATAAGTTGCACTGAGTAAATACAGCTGGATAAAACAAAAACTGTCTATCTTCATTTCAGGCTGCAAAGCAACAAAATGTGTTTATTTTAAAGGCGGGTGATTTATTTTTCTGTACCCACTGTATGCATGTATATAATAAAATTTCTTACACAGCTCTCTGGAATACTTGATTCTGATTTGTTAGTTGTGACATTCCGAGGTTATTCCCTGATAACAATCGTCCTCCTTAGCAATGCCATCCGAGTATTTGAGGCCAGCACTTTTTTCACGTCTCACATATTACACTGCCACCCTCTCTATGGTTTCATTCAAACGCAGCTGCTTTCTTTATTGTGTATCTTTGTTTTGTACACTGTAATGGATTTAAGCTAATAAACGGGTACGATTTTAAAATGCTTTTATTATCAAGTAACATTGTATGTCCTCGCCTTTATTTATGTGGTGAAAAGCTGTGTAATTAGTGATTTGACTACATTATGTCTTAAATGTCCATCTCGTCTGAAATTCGCCTAGGCATAAAGCTGTTTGTTAGGAACTGTTTATCTTTGCGGAAGCTTTGAGTTTGGAGAGCTAAAAAAATATTTCAACTTAAATCAATATTTTGTGTCTAATTAACGTACATTATCCTTACCTATTGTATTGTAGCATCACGCGCGCGCACACACACACACACACACACACACACACACAGACAGTTCTTTATGTCTACTTTCAGGATTTGTGTGAAAATCTAGTTATGGTTTGGGTCATATTGGGTCAACTATTTTTTTATATTGTCCCACCTCATAAAAGCTTTTTTGAAGAGAATGTTTGATGGTAAGTCTGAGACACAGTGTTCTGAAACACTTACTGGCATATATACAGATGTTTTTTCCCTGCTATGTGTAAGACATTTGCATGAATGTGCCCTGCTCTGGCTCTGACACTACTGCTGCTTCTCAGTATGAGGAAGTGAGCTTTTAACATTTAAGCCCCTTGACTGTATTTTTCACAGAAAGTAAACAAAATGCTTATCACTTAAAAGGGTTGGTAAGTGTCAAGTGGAAAGAACAGATACCTAGATGATACTTAACCTTGGTGTGACACACACTGATGTATATCTCTGAGTCTTAGCAACGTGTGTGTAATATGTGCTGAGTCTGATGCCTGTTTTTTTGTTTTTTTTCTCTGGCCACTTATAATGACGTCCAGACAGAGATTCTTAAGTGAGTTGAGCTGCAAATGACGCGTTTGGTGTAGGCTGACAATGTCATTTAATCTTCCAATGAAAAGGTCAGTGTGGGTGTGTGTGATGTGGTAATGTAGGTGTATGTGCCAGATCATCACTAACTTTCTTTTTTAGTTAATTATATGACATAATAGCAATTTAGATAGCACTACTGAATTTAGGTTATTTTTTATACAAAACTAATGGGGGAAAACAGTGTTTCAGTGACGATGTCTGGAAGTATTATCACTTTTGTTATTGGATATGAAAATTAGTGGATGTTTAAATTAAATGCTCCTTTAATTATGAAGGTTGCACCTCTGAGGAATGTTTAAATGCAAATTGGTAGAAAATTGTGACAATAGTGCAAAATTAATAGAAAGTGATAGAGCCGTTTAGCCACATCTTATTAAGACAATGCCATTTCTCTCAAGTTAGCTGCAACTATGGCCCAGTACCTAAAACGTATATTTTTCAAAGGAACTGTCATTTCACTTGCAATTATTTCAATCTTTTTTTTTTTTGCAATTATTTTCAGTGGTGAATTTCGAGGGGGGACTACATGGTATGTGTGTTGGAGCAGGGTTTAATCTAAACTCTGCAGGGCTCCGGCCCTCCAGGAATTGAGATTGACACCCCAATCTTAAGCAATTTTAAAACCAAGGGAGACCACAGACATGAAGACAGATTCAACAGATTTTTTACCTAATAAACCTCTGAACGCGTACACTAGATGATGCGACCAGACCGCAAGACCACACACTTGTCGATTTCACAGTGACACGTGATCTCACTGAGATTTGCAAGATCAAACGTGACTAGAGTATGGAAGGCCAAAAGGGCCAAAACACGTGAATATGAACACGCCAACAACACGTTAAATACGCATATTTCACGTGTATATAGTGCAGATTTCACTCGTTAAATACATGTTGTTTGCATGTGAAAAATTAGTGCGTTAAACACGCATATTCAACACGTATATAACATGTTAAATACGCGTAAAATACACTTTAAAAACCAGTTTGAATGGGTCAATGTCATTGGCTGTGACAGGCCTCGAATCGGAACATCGGGGGAAAATCTTCAAGTGTGTGGTCAGGCTTACTGAACAGAGCGTGAAAGCAGACTGCTTTAGGTAAATTATCTGTGACTTTGCCGAAAATCTGAACATCTTACTTTAATGGATAAAGCTGTGTTTGCGTACCTGAAAAGATCCAGGTCTTAATGTAAATGCTGTCTAAAAATAATGTAGTCTAGCCCGAAAAGACCTTGCATTTCCGTTAATGAGACATATAGATTTAAAATGGTATCATAACCTAACACACTTGCACAAGCACGCAACATATCCAAAAACACACACTGTAATCGAGAAATAGATGCCAGATTTTGCACACGCAGTGCATGTCTGTGTTTGCGCTATGGAGAGCACCATAGGTTTCTATTTACAACGCGTTCTAGCAGCATTGAGCAGTGTAGCCAATCACAGGGATATCTGTTGATTTCTTGAACGCATTGCCAATCAGAGGTGTTTAAGTTAGTCAAAAACAGTTTTTTTCAGTGCTGAGTTGTCTCATTATAAAATGATGAATTATTTACATGATGTAAACAAGAGATTCATTGTGCAGTGTAGAGCTTCATTCATTATAAAAGAAGTTTGTGAGTTTGCCATGAACTGAGATGAGTGACAGCTTTTCAGTGATTCTAAAGAGAGTTTGCACATGTGATATTGATTTTATACAACAGTTCAATAAACAATAAGTTAATATTATGTGACTTAGAGCAAAGTCAGACAGCAATGTTCCTAAAATCAATTTCATCATCGAAAATAGGTCCAAACAAAGTCACAGCTGCCGCTGCACAACTCCAATAAGCAAACACAGCGGTGTTTTGTTTATGAATGAATGCGTATTTGAATGAATCCAGTGAGTCAATGATTCAATTACCATAAAGACAGTCGCTTTGTTCATGAATGAATCAGCCGTTTGAATGAATCGATTGAATGATTCAGTGACAAAGACAAGTGACTTACCACCACCTACTAGCGGTTTTATTTTAATTGGAAAGCATAATTTCAGTTATTTAAATCATTTAATATTTCTATATTCAGAACATTATATTTTTAAAAATGTATCTCATAACATTGTTATTGTAAATTTAAATGCATTCGTGCCACCTCATTAACCTCATTAATTGATTCAGTGACAAAGACAAGTGACTTACCACCACCTACTAGCGGTTTTATTTTAATTGGAAAGCATAATTTCAGTTATTTAAATCATTTAATATTTCTATATTCAGAACATTATATTTTTTAAAAATGTATCTCATAACATTGTTATTGTAAATTTAAATGCATTCGTGCCACCTCATTAACCTCATTAAACACTGTAAATATACCTAAATACCACTTTTGTGTTCTTCCATGCACCTCTGTAGTGCAAAGATAAATTTGATTGGTAACTTATTCTTCCTGATTGTGTCTTATTATTCAAATTCAATTAATTTTTTTCATAATTTTTTAAAAAGAGGTTTCAGATGTTATCTGTAATGTTTATGGGTATTTCGGGCAGGATAATGTTAAGTTGGGTGTATCTGCCATCTGCTGCATACTGACACAGGTAATTGACCGCAATTACGGGATTGTAAAAAGCGTTTACGTCTTCATGGAACTCCTCATTACAACTTGTAAAATGGGAATTTCCTGAGAGCTACGACTTGTAGGCTACCACCTAAACGCTGATTTTGACCGCTTTAGTTTTCCAAGTCGCCACAATAACGTTGTTCTGTTTCCGGTGGTAAAAACAGCCAGGATTTAATAAGTTCCCGAGGAAATTGGTTAACTTTTTACAGGTAGGCTATGTTTGGCTTGTGCTTTAATATGTATTAACTCATTAGGCCTATTACAATTTTTTTTTAAACTATGGTATCGTTTTATTGTTGTGTTAGTTGACGCTAGATAGTCTGCCAAGTTTTGCATTGCTGACTGTACTACAAAAAGTGTCTTGTACAAATTACTTTTATGTTCATTAAAATGCTTTCATTACCATATAACACGCTTGTCTTGTTTTGTTTATGGGTCTATTTCCTTGTGTTACCGTAAAAAGCACGCAAGCAAGGAGCAGCAGCAGCTAACGTTAAAGAGTCGTTGACAAATCACCGGATTCTTGAAAGTATTATATGGAACTTTGGTTGCCACATAATATATTCCTAGCCTCCTTCAAGCTCCATTCCAAAGCCAGGAGTAAAAAGGAAATATTTTAAATATAGGCTTAGGAGGAGGTCGAAAACGCTGTGCAGCAGAGTTTCTAAATGTCGATGACAGCGAATAGTTTGTGCTGCTTCCTTCGGACAGCTGAGTCATGATGCGTCACTAACCAGTTTACGTGACTAGTTGGCAAAAAAGTACAAACTACGTTGTTTCGCTGTTAACGCTTTATATAGCGACATGAAATGTGTACGGAGAAAAACATGCGGCCGCTCACGCCGATGAAATGGAAGTCAGAGAGCGAGAAAGATATAGAAAAGAGAGAGAGAGGCAACGAGTGAGCTAAAAGCCCCTCCTACTGGTAATGTGACAACGCTTTTGTGAATTTTGTGATCTTTAAATCATGAGCAAGGGGAAATTCTGATCTTATTGCGCGTTTGCTTCGAGTCAGGACCACTACACTCAAAACGGTAAGAATATTATTTACTTGTGACTATTTATTAATACGAATCATATAGATAATTATAACTTTATTTTCTATGCTACATCTAAAAACATTTGTGGATTTTAGAAGTTCATTGAGACTTTGTTTTACATCACTGTTCACTGCTGACAAAGAGTTGAATGAATTGATGAAGGAATTACACTTTTAGTTATTATTAATAATATATCAATATTTTGTCTATTTTTTTATAGTGTTTTATACAGTAGAGATTGTTTCAACAGAATAATTGAGGCAAACTTCAAAAATGTGCCAAATCTAAATTCTGCTGTAAAGCAGCTGTAGCAAAACAATAGGTTCATTATTCAGCACCAGTCAGTTCAGTGTTGGTTCAGTTCAGTTCAATGACTGTGTAAAGTTGATTTATTATGATAAGCAGCTCTGCTGAACACAGTAGTGTTGTTATAATTAAATAAGTATACCCTCCTGGGACCCAGGCATAGAATTTTGTCCTCTGTAAAGGGCATTATAATTTAGTGAATTTCTCTGAGACCATACATGCCACAAGGATGTTCTGGATGTTTTTAAGTTCTGCATAGCCTGGACAGAGCACATTTAAGGCTTTTTAAAGATATCTAATGTTTGGAGGTTTGATAATATCACACCCTCTGCTTGGTCTTTAAATATGTCTGATATTGACAGAATGATCAAATTTAGCACTCTTAGGGAAATGTGATAGTTTTGTAATTATCTTTTTAAATCTGACTAATTTCCAAATTGTTTGTTATAAATAAACATCTCGGAAAAATGTTATGGGGTTTCAAACCGGAATATGACTTATAATTTTCATACATGCCACAAGGATGTTCTGGATGTTTTTAAGTTCTGCATATCCTGGACAGAGCACATTTAAGGCTTTTTAAAGATATCTAATGTTTGGAGGTTTGATAATAACACACCCTCTGCTTGGTCTTTAAATATGTCTGATATTGACAGAATGATCAAATTTAGCACTCTTAGGGAAATGTGATAATGTTTTGTAATTTTCTTTTTTATATCTGACTAATTTCCAAATTGTTTGTTATAAATAAACATCTCGGAAAAATGTTATGGGGTTTCAAACCGGAATATGACTTATAATTTTCATACATGTCTTCTGTAGAGGACACCAGGACAGACATAATGTTAATCAGGCATTATGGGGAGACACAACAAGTCAATAGGGAAATAAATTATTGATCAATATTCCTATGAAATAGGAGATATTCTTATGAAAATGTTGCCCAGTTATTACTCCCATTATTACACTTCTTTTTTCATTATGGTTTGCCCCAAGAACACATTAACATGCAAATTAGATGCAATGTATAGAGATAGACATTGTATAGAATGGGAATACCCATTTATGGACATTTTATGCACATATTCCATGAAGTTTAGTAGTTGATTGGTGAATGAAAAAATAAAACACTGTTTTTGCCTATATGTGCCTTTTCATGTCTATCTATTTATTTATTTTTCATCCTCTACAAAGGACATAAAATAAAATCTGAATAAAAATATATTTTTTCAAAAATGTTTTTCTCCATTCGTTTCTTATGCTCCAACCAATGTAATGGCATGAAAATCAACAAAATTCACAAAACGTTTTTTTTCTGGTTCTCAGGAGGATTATATTGTATTATATCACATAAACGTTTAATTAATAATGGCTTAATGATTTTCCTTAGTTGTTCAATTGTTTTATTTCTGGTGCAGGAAGAAATGATGGCTGCTTCCCGAGGACTTCCAAGGATTTTGCTAATGTTCAGTTTAGTACTGAACAGCACTATAGGTGTTGACACTGGCTGTGATGACTGGACTCTTAATGGAAATGATGTCTGCTGCAAGAGATGCAAGCCAGGTACAGAGACATTAACTGACAGCAATGTACTATTATCTAGTACCTAACAAGATATTTTCAACTTTTATGAAGGTACGATTTCATGATTTACCACTTTAAAAATAATTTATTGGAATATCGAAAATGCCAAACAGCGGATTACACATGAGTGACCAAGTGAAGGAAGTTTCAGATCATTTTGAAAGTGTCATGAAAAGGATGTGGTTTAGCACTCAAAGGGAAATCCTTGAAGTGTTCTGTCATTGCATAAAGATGATTAGATCATCCTTAGAGAACTCAAAGGGTTGTCCCGGAAATCTTACTGTAATAAGGAGTTCTGTGAAGCTTGCTTGAAAGGTCCAGTTTCAAACATTCTGCCATATTCACAAGACAATTGAGACTCAGTGGATGTCATTCTCTATTAGCAGTAACTGTCCCTATGTTTTTGGATTTATCATTCCAGATAAGCAGATGTTATTTTGCATGACATTAAACAGTTAAACATACAGTGGAACTGAAATGTCAATATTTTAATATTATCAGATAAAAAGGTTGAACTTTTGTTTGTTCTATATTTTCCCAAATCCTAAAACATTTTTTATTGCTGGGTTTTTAAAGAGATGGGGGGAAAAAATCCTCCCTCTGACTTTTGGACACCCTTTTGTGATCAGTGCTGAAGTTGTGAAAGTGAATGAAGTGACGTGTGGCCAAGTATGGTGACCCATACTCGGAATTTGTGCTCTGCATTCAACCCATCCATGCGTCTGTATAATCAAATGTGTATGAGTTTCAATGGCCATGCCAAAAGTAGTTGCTTGTGGTTACAGGGAACCGCTTGGTGGAGAGTTGTGGAAGAGACCCAGAAAAGCTCTGTATCCCCTGTGAACCTGACACTTACATAATCAGTCATGAATTCCACTGTTTGAGATGTACCCAGTGCATAGGTATGATCCAGTTTTACATCCTCATTTCCATTTTAGTTAAGCAAATGAAAATGTAAGGCTATGAGATAAATTATTTTATTTATATACATCATCATAAGCTTTGATATTTGCTTCATATTGAGTACATAATGCATAAATAATATCACACTGAGTAAGCATGAATCTTTCTGTTACATGTTTACAGGTAAACAGTTTACGCTTAAATCTTGCACTATCAGCAGCAATACCGTATGTGGATGCAAGGCTGGATATCGGTGTGGAAACGACAAATGTTCTTTCTGTGTTACTGAATGCAAGGAGGGGGAGGAGCCAACCAAAGAGCGTAAGAATTTAATTGAACCCCTTTTCTTGACCTTCTCTGATTAATAAATTCTCAAGCTATTTAATAGCAAATTGCCTGCTATATTGCTATATATTGCATAATTGCTTATTATTTTCAATTAAATTCTGTAATTTAATGATTGCAGGATCTTGTAGAAAATGTCCAGAGGGAAAATTCAATGATAAAATCCACAGTATGTGCAAAGAATGGAGAAAAAGGTAGAGTACAATTGGCTGTTTTTTTTAAATATAATTTCTCAGAAATACATTTGTCGTAAATTGTAAATCGTCATTCAAACTTTCTTATTCATTCTCTAGTTGTCCTGATGGACAGACTTTGGTCAAAGGAAATGTTACCAGCGACAGTATGTGCACATATTTAGAAGGTAAGTAAATACAGGAGAAGAACATAACTTGGATGGCAAGCAACATACTGCTGCATAATCTAATGTTTTTGTCTACAATTTTTGTTACAGAACCTAAACAAGAACCCTTACCTGTTTTGACAGATAAAAAAGGTAAATGAGAATATCTAGCAAAAAAAAGAACATAGCATCATTGCAGACTTTTTGAGATTGCTCAAGTTAACTGGACTGCATGTCTTTCAATATGAATATCAAATTCTAACCTCAAGGATATTTTTGCATCTTCTAGAACCGACTAAATGGCTTTCAGTTTTCATTGCTGCAGGGATGGCAGGGTTGGCTGTCCTTTGTATCATAGCATCAGTGGTTGCATATGTAAAGGCACAAAACAAAACAGAGAAGCCAAAAACCGATACCCCTGACCAAGGTACCATTTAAACCTGTGTGTCCATTTTGTCTTTCTTATATGCCGTTCTTAGAATAAAACTGATAATGTCTGAATTTACAGTATTGTCATTCCTTTCTTTTAGACCACTCAGATGAGTCCAGGATAATGGCTGTTGAGCAAGAAGACTGTAGTTTCCGTCATCCTGAGCAGGAACAGGGCGGCAGCTCAGAGTCCATCAATACGCAAGACTCAGAGTCTAAACTCATAGTGTGAGTTCACTGGGACAGCATTAATTTTCTTATCTGACTCTAGCATTGCTTCAAGAACAAGAGGGCACAACCACTAAACATCTACTAAACTGTGAAATACATACTTGACTGGGTGTCTGTCAGCCATTCCATGTGGTGTATCAGTGATAAATGGGAACAAAATGGGTAGTTTCATTTGTTCTGGAAAACAAAATGAACTTTCACATCAGAGTTTTTAACTTCTGAAGTATAGTGCACCTTAATAACACAGAGATGAGAGGTTGTTAACGTAGGTGTGCAGTAGCAGACAATATGTCAACACTTTTATGAGAGTAGGCGTCATCTACTGGCGCTTGCGTCACATTTTCAGGTCAAAGCCCTCTTGAAATACCCTGGTGGGCTTCCCCACTTTTCTGTTTAAAACAGCACCTTTAAAAAAAATTAAAAAAAGCTCTTTGGACCAAGAACAAAGAGGATAACAGAAGAACAACAACAAGACTGTTTTAAATGGCATGTTTGCACTTTAACCTATTATTAACCTATTATAACTTTAACTACTTTAATTATTTTTAATTAATAGTTCTTTGTCTAATTGTTTATATATATATATATATAAATTTTTATTTTTATTTTTTTTTATCTATGTCTGGAAATCAGCAGAGAGAGCAGAGTATTGTTTGGTAAATGTGGTTGACCATGTCATGTAGGAAGTGAACTGCCGAAACTAAACATTTGACCTCAAGATGTTTTGTACATATTAGAATTAGGAATAGTTTTGTACATATTAGGAATGGCCTGTCAACTCAGGCCATTCTAAACCCTGGGTTTACAAAATCATGACTTGTTGCTTTTCATTCATTCACAGTTGTGTTCACTGTAGGAATTTATTCTGAGAATTAGGTTTCAACTCAGGTTTCACATGCTACATTTGTAAATCCTGGGTTAAAATTCATATTTGCATATTTGCGTTGTCAATATCATTGACTAGATAAACTGTTTAAATTAAAGCTTATCTCACTCATATGCATCAGTTGGGCTTATTTATTCCTGACTGTACCATCCGGTTTACCCTAAACAGACTTTTTGAACTTTACACTGTAAAATTAAAATAGTCTCTTTGCTCCAGTTAACTTATTTCCATCACTGTTTGACATTTTCCCCCCTCAAGCGCTAAAACGAAATAGGGCGCCGAATGTTGGGATAACTGTACAGACATAGTTCCCTAGTGTCCTGATTTGAAAACTATTTACTGTATCTGTAATGTTATTAATCTAGAGTTTACCTAGGAATCACGATGAATCATTTTGCATTCTGGCTTCATTTTCCTTCCACGTCTAGACTGAGACAAACACATGCAGAGATAATTCACTCTGCACCCACAAAAAAACAACCTTATTTGGCTCCAGAGAGGTTTTATCAGGGCGTAACAGCAGCGAGGATGTAACACAGTTGTTTCTCAACCCTGGTCCTAAGCGCCCCCAACACTGCACATTTTGTATGTCTCCCTTATCTGACACCCATTTCAGGTCCTGGAGTTTCTTTTAATGAGCTAATGAGTTGAATCAGGTGTGTTTGATTAGGGAGATACACAAAATGTGCAGTGCTGGGGGCCGCCCAGGACCAGGGTTGAGAAACACTGATGTAACAGAACAGCTGGTGGTTGAGCAATGCGATGATTGTGCTTGTCTTTAACGGTCAAAAAAAGGTCAAGCTGTTTAATATGTCACTTTATGCGTCACTACTGTGTTTACTATGTAAAACCCTATACCGAGTTTATAAAACAACTCTCCCTCTTGTAAATAGAAAAAAAACATTTTGTGGGTAGAGAAGGAAGGTCTCTTTGGAATTTGATGTTTGAGGTGCTTCCCGCAGAGATTTGCATGAATTTGTTGGTATTAGGGAAAGTCTTAACTTCTGTCTAGTCTAAATTTAAATCCACGAAATTTCTGCTGTAAATGTAAAAAGTGTTTATTGATGTACATCAAGAAAGATATGGATATATATATAAATTTGTGTCTTCTGTACAAAGCAATCTTTAAATTTTAGATAGGCAATAAAGGCCTACTGATTCATGACAACACATTATTGCCATAACAGTAGTGAATACAATGAAAACATATAATCTTAGCACTCAGCATCAGTTCAAAAATACAAGAAAACATACATGAAAGTGTCATTTCCTCCAGCCTGGTAAAACTACTGTAGGGCATATATAGAGACTATGCTGATGTACACTACAAAGAAGGAGCAGTCTCGTAAACCAGTAACTATTAAAATAAACATTTCATTTGTGAAAGCATGACTTGGTTTTGCAAACGTTTTTTTTTATAACTTTATACAAAGACATTCTTGCATACTGAAGGCAACCATTAGAAATTAAAATAACACTTTGGGCAAATTAAGATTAGTGTAGTTCCCGGAGTACAGGAAAAAAGTACAAGCAATTAAAAAAGAATGCCTGATTAAATATCTTAAGAGATCAAGAATCATGCAGAAAAACTCCAAAGAGGATCACTCAACCATGTGCTAACTTCCTTTATCAAAGCATAGTATCATTTCAGGTTTTCCCAGAAGTCAAATGTGTAATACCAAGTACCGCTAGTAGGAGCTTTCCCTCTGTGGTGACATACCAGCCTCTAACCAAAAGGTAAATAAAAACGAAACAAACCAATAGAGCATGACATGACTTAATGCTATTACTAGTAAACATCTGTTTATCTGGATGGAGTGTCCCTGTTTTGCAAGTTCAAGTTGATTTGTTGAATACAAAAGTATCCCAAGTCTTGGAGAAAGCAGAAGACTGGAAAGCCCCAAACTGCCAGGACATGCATGCATTTCTTTAATCGAATTTGGTTATTAATTCATTATTGCAGTTGATTTCACACATGTCCAGCATCACTGCTGCTTGCAGTTCTCTTTCTGTTTTGCATTTTCCTTTTTCTCCTTGGGCTTTACTCGTTCCAGTTTGTCACTCTGTCGTTTCGTGGGGGGCACAAAATTAGGTTCTTCCAAGGGGCTCTTCAAACCTACTTGTTGTGATGTTTGATTTTGACAGGAACCTGTAAATGAACGAAATTTATTTATTCCATTCATAAATATATTAGAAGTTGTTGTGTTATGTGAATGAATGAAAGCACCATTAATTTGTCCCGATTCAGCAGAATCCTTCCTTTGAAAGGTTGGGTCCAGCTCTTCGGCAATATTCCTGATGGCTTGCGGTTGCCTGTGGTGACACCAAAGGATGTTAAATGATATTACCTGAAAATTAAGCAGTAATTCATAGAGAAAGGAGTGATTTACATTGTCACGGAAATGTGACTAGGGAGTTGATTGTCTGGGGTGAAGTCATCAAATGGGGACTGAAAACCTTCGGCATCCAGTCTGCGCCTCTGTATATCAAACAGCAAAATTCATACAATTTTATTTCTTTGTATTACTACAAAAAAGGCTCCTAAAGGCTGGTTCACTCTGGTCCAACAAACACAAATAGGGTTTTAGAATTTGCTGAGTCAATGTGAATCATCCTTGAAAGATCAATATTTCCAAAGAACACATGTGGCAATACTGATGAATCATATGATCAATTCATGTAAGCACAGCAAAAGTAATGTTTAAAAAGGGGTGCATTTCCCAAAAGCATCGTTAGCTAACTATGGTTGTCAGTTCCATTGAACTCTATTGGTAACGATGGAACTTGCGACAATAGTTGCTTTTGGGAAATGCACTCCAGTTCAACAGCACTAATATCAGAATGAACTGTGCCAAAGAGATGCATGGACAAGGCAATTCTGCAGAGGTGTCATTTGATGCATTCAGATGGTTGGAATTTTTGGATAGTAAGTAAGGAGTACATGGTTACGCAATAATAAAAGATAGTGTCACTCTAAATGTGACTACCTGTCTGTCACATGCTGTTCTCCTGTCATTCTCCCAGTATTCTCGAACAGGTTCCAGCTCACGAGACCTCCGTTTAGACGTAATCTCCTGTTTCTGCATTAAACGTGCAATTTCCTGCCACAAAATGACAAATGAATATTCACACCTATTCATGTGATGGGAAAGCAGCCCTCTCATTTAAGCTCTGCTTACCTCATCTTGAGCAACCTGTGCCGCTCTGAAATCTCCAATAGGACAGTCCCTTCTAAGAGGAGAGGGACCTTGCTGAGTCTATGAAAGAACAAAACAATTCTGCATATTTTTGCTTTATTTTAGGAATTTTTACTACTGTTACTGATAGGGATATTAAAAAGACTTTGCGGCAGATCACTAATAGAGCTGGGTGGTATGATGGTACATACCAGGGGTGTCCAATCCTGCTCCTGAAGGGCCACCTTCCAGCAGCGCTTAGCACTAGCCCAAATTAAACACACCTGAAGCAGTTAATCGGGAACACTAAAAACCCACAGGGAGGTGTGTTAGAGCTAAACTTGGCAGGAAAGTGGCCCTCCAGGAGCCGGATTGCTCGGTGTACACAATATACCAGTGATTTTCTATCACGTTTCTGGAGCTTCCCAACACTAAACATTTTGAATGTCTCCTTTGCCTGACACTTTAATTTCTTTGTCCCTACTAATGAGCTGATAACCTGAATCAAGTGTGTTTGATTAAGGAGACAGTGGCATTTACCAAAACTGCGGTAGATATATTTGATCCTGTAGCTCACCTCTTCGGCCGATCTCTCCTCCTCTTCCTGAAGCCTGCGGGCCAGCTCCTCATCCAGTAGCACAAGAGCAGCCGTTCCACTCCTAAGAGCAGGTCCTGTCAGGTAATAAGTGCAGAATCACAACCAGATAATGTGGAGAGGGGACACAGGGTTTTCAGACCACCATCACCTTCAGCCAGATGGGCCGCAACCATAGGTGTCCAATCCTGCTCTCCTTGAGGGCAACTGTCCCACAGAGTATAGATCCAAAACACTTACCTGGAAGATTCCAGCAGTCATGAAGACCTTATTTAGTTGGTTCATGTGTTTAATTAGGGCGTGAGCTAATTTCTCCTGCAAGGTGGCCCTTTTCGGGAACAGGATTGAACACTTTTGGCCAAGACAGTTGAATGTGGATTTCCATTTAATAAACTCATTAGGAATCTTACTGGGTGGATTACAGCTATATAAACGTACCTCAAAGGACACACAAAGCAAGGGCCAAATCAAAAAGAAAATGCAAGACTAAATCAAGAAAAAACAAGAATATTTAACGCTGAGGTACTGAAAAGGAGAAAACAACCGATGCTGCTCTAGGAGAAAGAGAAGCAGATGAGATTGAGGTTTTTGAGAAACAAGGACGAGATCTAGTCTCACTGGAGAAGGGATCAAGCTTGAGAAAAAGCAGATGACACCAAAAAAAAAAAATTGCCTCAACTCCCAAGATGTACACTGCAAGCACACAGAAATGGACAGGAGTTCTTGTTTACTGATTGGAAAGCAATGAGCAGATGTAGGGACAGGCTCAGCCACACTGCAAAGCTCAGAGAGGGATTACCTTCTCTGGAAGAGCGCCCACTGCAAGACTGGAGTCTTTGCATCCGTCTCTCCTCCCTCGTGCTCTCCCTCTCCAACTCTTCCTCTGTGCTTGATCTCTCTTCCTCGAAGGTCTGCCAGTGCTCACTTTGACTTCGCCTCACCCTACACTCTCTACGCCTGTGGTCTCGGTCTATCCTCCTTTCATCCTCCGTTAATGATCGAGCTCTCTGTTGTGTATTTCTGCCTCTCCCCATCTCCCAATTTCTCCTATCTCTCAAACAATCCTCCACTTCCAACTCCATTAACTGTGGCACTCTTGGTTGCAGTGAGGGAGCATTATTTGAGGGTCTTGGTCTAGCCAAATTAGAATCATCTACGCTGCATGTTCTGCTTCCCTCACGCTCAGATGTCCGCCTGACATTACCATGGTAACTACGTCGCATTGAAATGTTCCGTTGAAACTCCTGAGCATGAGTGTGGAGACCTTGAGTTTCTCTGAGGTGTGTGAGATCATCTCTTAGCATCCCTGCTGAACACTGAACTCTTTCCCTAGTGTCCCTGTGACCATTTTCATAGGTCCTACAACCGTTGCCCAGGTAACTGTTAGTGCACCTCCGTTCATCCAGGAAATGAACATGTCTTTCCCTAAAACTCTCTCCAGGACCACAACTGTCTCCCTGCCATATTCTGCTACGATCCTCCCTCATGCTGCTGTGGCGACTCAGCCCCATTCCTGAGACCTGCTGCTTCTGTCGCAATATTTTCTCAAGTTTATAGACTGGTTCAAAGAGATCATCCTCAGAGCTGTGGCTGAGGTAGCCTTGCTCACTCATATCGTTCTTTATGAGCTTGATGACATCACCCCATCCACCTGACAGGTGTGAAGATCTGTTACTGCTGCTTTGGCTGGTCATGCTTTTGTCATCCTGCTCTAATTGAGCTCTGGAAGGTCTGCCGACCAGCTTCCTCTGCCCCACAGTGGGTTTGCTGTCCTGCCATATGACTGTAGGCCTACTGTACTCAATCAGGTCCTCCTCAGAGTCCGAGTAGGTGGGCGAGGAGGAGTGCTGCCATCTTCTGGTTGGAGACTGGTTGTGAGGTACATGAACAGGCCGGGGTAAGTATGGACGAGCAGGAACGCTTGTGGACTCTTTAGTAAAGCCAACCATGCAAACATAAAGCAGGGGATTTGGGAAATGGTTAGAGATCGAGGGATGCACAGTAAAACAGTTAACATATGAAGCTTTGTTTAGATGTAAAAAGGACAAATGAACCGTTGGAAAAAAAAACATGGAGTTTAAATGGAGCTTCACTGAATTCAGGGCCTGGTTAGTACGCCATTAAAAGTTAAATGGGATAGTTGGATTCAAGGGATAGTTCAACCAAAAGAAATAATAGTAGTGTCAATCAAACTTTATAATCAAGGACACACTCGGTCCAACCAAAGACACAACAATAACAACATACAAAAACACACGAGGACAAAAACCACAATATCACATATTTACATGTGTACTAAAACGCCAATGATTCCACATATTTGAAAAAAGCCTGACTGAACTTAGTGCCAAGTTCGTCAGTATTAAAATTATACTGTTTACAGATTCTGATAACCTACACGTACATCTGTACATAAGATTACGTAACACAGCAGCGCAGGTTGGCACACCAGCACTGACAAACATTTGGCTTGCGCTACTCCCTCTTGGCACCTTAAGCAGCAATCGCATACCATCATTATAAGCTACATTAAATCTCCGCATGCTGCTCTTTCTGTAATGCCGCCACAAATGGCCAGTATACATAGGGGTACAGTATGCTTTAAAAAGTGTAGTCTTCACAGATCCTGAGCACATGCCAAATTTGCGAATCAACATATTGGCCTGGGCATACAGCGTACAACACTGTCTGTAAATATCCCTATCATCAGACAGGTCATCAGTTATATAATGCCCTAAGTATTTAACCTCATTACATACCTTAAGGACACTCCCAGACAGAGAGAAGTCAGGAAATGTCAGTTTCCTGTCCCCCCTACTCCTAACAATCATAATATTACTCTTTTTGGCATTATATTTAATATCAAAATCTGAACCATATCGAGAACAAATCCTCAGTAACTGTTGAAGACCAGCACTATATGGACAAAAAAAAAAATCACCAAATCATCTGCATACATCAAATGGTTTATAATGTTATGACCAACCATACAACCTGTTCTACAACCATTTAACAGCTTTGATAAATCATCCATTTAAACATTAAATATAAAGGGAGACAAAATCCTTCCCTGTCTGAGTCCATTACATACACTGAATGGAGCAGACACACAATTACCCCATTTTACATACATTAATTGATGAGCATACCAAAAAAACAAAATTCTCACTAAAATTGTGTCATCATTTATTCACTCTCATGTCATTCCAAATGAATTTTCATCTTTGGGTGAACTGTACTTCAACTGGACATGGAAGTGGAAACGCCATCAATTTTACAGACATGAATGAAGTCAATAAATTCAAAGGAAAACGTAACATCCTCTCGTAGCTCTGTTTATGCCATTAAAGAAATTCAGGTTTTATTGTAAGACACAAAAGATGTCGTGTAACCATAGAACTTTTCAAACACAAAACAAACATGTGTGAACTGGACTTTGGAATAGTCATCATCCCAGATGATGTCATGTTTTGTGGGGCTTAAAAAGTAAATGAAGCAGCTGGCTATATGTGTCATGCTGAATGATGGATGCATTAACAATACACTGCATGTGTATTATTTCATTAGATTTAATATTCAAAATGTGCTTAAAGATGGACTACTCTGTGTGTAAGAAATCAGAAGACACCAAGGTTTCAACATCACCCGTGGTGTCACATTATTTTACAGCAAATCAAATGCAGGAAACAACCATTTGACTAGTCTAAGAAAACTTGTGACAAGGCATTGAGACATAGTCATGATCATAGTCATTTATCGACATGATCTTTCGCAATTTAGGCTTTTAATAAGCAAATCAGACTCAATCCAGATGATGCTATGGGGTTTGGGTTCAGTGTCGATGCAAATGTGGCCTCCTCGACATGTAATTTAGATTTCACACTCCTAATAATCTACAAAATTTATGTCCATTATGGAAGAAAATTTTGAATGCAGTAACCTAGAAATGTAAATGTATTTTATGTACATAAGTGCAGCTTTGTCACACAACAGAAACACTTGTCAGTGTGAACACAAAGGGAGCCTGCTGTCACAAGAGAGAGGCCTACATAAAACTGTTGAAGGAACACCACTTCATAAAAACACTTCAATAACAGCATTAATTTTGTTGCAGAGGAGAATTTTACCTTTACCATCTTTATTTTGGTAACTGCTCCTGTGTCTCGAATAAAGCTCTTCCTCTTCCTGTATCCTTTTTGCTATTTCCTAAAAAACAAAAACTTTATGGATCATAATGTTCATTTGTGAGTGTGAGGATCTGTTGTTGTTTTTTTTAACAAATTCTTTAATAAATATAGAAAAGCATGTAAAGTATGGCTGCAGATTGTATTTGAAAAAAAACTAAAAACTAATAGCATGTCAGAAAGAAATAGATTTACAGTTATTCAGTGATGACACCGAGGTGAAACCCTCAACCCTAAGTGTAGGTTGTGTTACTAAAAATATATCCGCTCAGGCACTCAACAAAGCACCAGTGATAGACGTGCACGTCAACAGAAGGGAATTTCCACGCCTACGTATCAAAGACCTGCCTGCACCTACAGCAAAAAGCCCACCATGCAGAATCTTCAAAAAGCTACATACTTGGCCTCTAACAAAATGGAGGTCACAATTTATCGCACGGCTGACCACAATGACTCACAAGTTTCCTCTGACAAAGTACGGCTGAAACTAAACCAATTACAGTATGTTTACCACAGTGACCTTATCTTTAATCTTCTCACATGACTACCAACATTCTGTACCATGTAAATATTATAAAATGTATATTAATTTGATCTGTAAAGTTACAAACTATGATTTCTGCAAAAGCATTACATGAACCCCTACAATGTTATATATACTTGTAAGATATTAGCAAAGTTACTAGAACTTGTTTACTGTTTGAAAGAATTCTAATGGTATTTCTACCTGCATTTAACTCTGTGTTATGAAATATTGTATTGTAAAGTCTTGCAAAAACAGCCATAAATGTGACAACATACCCTGAGCTCATCCAAATACCCACATTTGCGGTCTTTGCACTTGACCACTTGTCTTCTTACATGATGTATTTCTTGTATTTGGCCCAAGTGTTTATGTGTTGTATAGTGTTGTAAAATGCAAGTGTTTACAGAGCTTTATTCTGATTTTCAATAGCCTACTTTGCATTTTAAAATGTAAAACTAAATGTCTGTTCAGTAGTCTCTATAACAGATGACACAAATCCATATTGGAGATTCGAGAGTGTGGATTTAGTTTGCGTTAAGGGCACTGTGCTTTGGCATTTTTAAGACCTGGGACAATCTTGCTCACTTAATTCCTGTTGCGCGCAAGTTGGACAAACCCCCTGTATATGACAGAGAATTACAGTAGAATACAGCACTTAACCAGTAGATTGCGGAGTTCTACCTTAATGACAACAGAAGTGACAAAACAGGTTCTTTCCAACAATCATAAAACTTTTGACTTGCATTGAACTATAATCTGTACTTGGATTTCAATGCTGATTATTTGGAAGGAAAAATACAATACTTCAGGAGCTGGCCTGAATATTTATGACAAGGTTCTTCAAAATTTGAAAATGGGAGAAATGAGAAAATAGGCGAAGAGTAAGTAAAGAGATGGTCAAGTTGTTTAGGTCAGAATTTTTTATTTTTTTTTAACCAAGAGTACCTCAACGGGCCACAGGCGCCTGAGGAAAATTGAAACAAAACTAAAAAGATTTTATAACAATGTATTTTAACACTAAGCTTTAGATTGGTATTTTTCGTGAAACTTGAATATGTTGAAATACGTTTTTTTTCTAATATTAGGCAGAAATAACTAATATTGTGTAGAAAAAGAAAGATATGCTGTTACCTTTGCTGTTAACTACAAATTAAATATTTTTAATATAATGTAATATTAATAAGAAGCGTTTTGGCTTTAGCCAATAACAAATATCCCATCTTTTAAATTTGGAAATGTTCCATTCTAATGAACCTGTTATGGTGACCTTTCTTACTTCACAGCATTAACAGAATTAAATCCACTGTCCTGCGCTGGGAGATTTCGCTGTGAGACTAGGTCCTGCCTCAAGGGGTCTGATTCTGAGCTTATCTGGCACCTGGACTCCAGATGAGGCGTGTTTGTGTACACAACAATTAGAATGACTGGGTGAGAATTATGTTCAACATTACTCTTCCCTGATCCTGTATGAGCTTGATAGGACAGCAGGCTTCAGAGCAGTGTGTGGAAATGATATTTAGATGCGAACAGCTGCCTCACAGGCTTTAATTAACACAGGGCTACAGGGGTGTATATATAATTAATGCAGTGGAATGTCATTTTATGCAATATGCGAGGCCTATCAGTGCAAAAAATGCCACACGTTTGAAAACACCTTCAAAATTACTAGTAAATATTAATTAAATAATACAGAGGCTGATATTTTATTATGTCTGCTTTAAAGCTTAATTTTAAATGAACACTTTAAAACATCAATGAGCATATTTGTTGCTTTCCAGTAACATCTTTAAAATATACGTGAGAAGCAAAACTGTGTAAAGATAAACATTCTTGGGGAGAACTTGCATTTAATAAACTATAAGATTTCATATTAAGCTGACTAAAATAACTTTTAGTACAATTATTACAAGGACAGCTCACTCTGGAGCAAAGAGACGTTAAGCACTAGGGCACAATGCTGGTTGGACTGAACATCATGGATTATCGCTTGCAGCTTTTTAACCACTATGCCACACCACCTCCAACACAAAGAACTGCTATAACATTTATGGGACCCTTAATACAAAGCCCTCACCAAAGAAAGCTGCAGATCCATAGAGATTTCCTTTTATTTCTGGAGGAGAACATTTCCACACTCTTTTCTGCTTGTGACTCACTGAACTAGAAGACTAGAACAGAAGTCTTTTTTGTTTCCCTGGGGAGGTTATTTAAGGTGGGCTGGAGTTAAATGCATCTGAAGTTGATTAATGCACAGTATGAGTGTGATTTTTGCTTTATAGTAGCTTGATGCTCATTCCCGTGTGGTTTTTGCCAGCTCTTACACTCCACAGGAGACTACCTGAATAAATCAGCTCACTGGCGTCCCATGGTGACTCATTAATTATTGATCCATTTGATCCCTCAGACAAAGCGGTTCAGAGGTGCAAATGAAAAACAGAAGGGGTGATGTTTACTGAGCCTGGAGTGTGTTACACACCTCGTCCTCCACCTCCCTCCTCCAAGCTTCGTCTGCACGCCGCTGGAGCTCCTCCTGAATCATGTGTGCATATTCAGAGTCCCGTTCCTCCCTTAAGAGAAAAAACACCTTTGATATAATGAAAACAACTAAAAACACATCTGTTTCCTTTAATGCAAGAAGGAAGTGCCGAGGCCATCACACTATAGGAGAATTGTGGACTTTGGACATGCTATCAGCTACTGAACTGCTGATAAACAGCATCCAACCATGAAAGGACAGTGTCATATATGATAGTGGTGTGATTAGTCTTTGACTCTGTGTGTGTGTGTGTGAGAGAGAGATCTTACAGCTGGTGAGTGGCCTGGTGCTGCAGCATCTGAGCTCTATGCTCTTCCTCATCTTGGAGTCTCTTAGCTACTCTGATGTCCCTTTGCACCAGCTGACTCCTCTGCACATTTGAGTTGTAGTACTGCTCAACTGTTGGAGATAGCATGCAATTTTACAGGAAGAGCACATGGAAGATAAACTACTGTTTAAAAGTTTGGGGTCAGTAAGTTTAATGAAGTTTATTCAGCAAAGATGTATTAAATTGATCAAAAGTGACAGTAAAGACATTTATAAAGATTTCCATTTCAAAGAAGTTTTAAAATGTTCTATTCATTAAAGAACGTATCACGGTTCCCACAAAAATATTAAGCAGAGCAATTGTTTCCAAAATATAATAATATATGTTTTTTTTAGCAGCAAAGCAGCATATTAGACTTCTGAAGGATCAAGTGACACTGAAGACTGGAGTAATGATTCTGTAAATTCAGATTTGGCATCACAGGAATAAATACAATTTTAAATACATTTTAAAATAGTTAAATTGCAAAAATATGTTACAGTATTACTGTTCTTACTGCATTTTTGTTCACATAAATGCAGCCTTGGTGAACATGATAGGACATATTTCTAAATATCATGATGTACTTGATTGTTTCAGCAAATAATGTAATACGACCTCATGTAGCCTTACTGTGACAATAAACTGCATACTTGCACAGAGAGATCATCCGATTTACATGTAAAGCAACCTCACAGTTTGTTTTGATGCCATTTAGGGGCGGGTAATAGGCTGACATAAAAACATTAACTGAAATATTGATGCGGTGATCTCTGTGAACGGCTGTTCAGAGAATGGTTTAAAACTAAACTCACATGAGAGGTCTTGCTACCTTATGTACTGAAACGCCCTTGTATTTACAGGTGTGTGAACACCAGCCTACTTTAGAAGTACACAAAAGGCAGCTGAATGTGTCAACGCTGAGAAAACAGATTTCAAGCTTGCATTAAAAAAGCTTTAGGTGTGGCAGATGAAATGAGAGAAATTGGACTTACTTTCCTGCTCCTGCAGGTTATGAGCTAGAGCTCCATCCTCCAGTTCAGCAAAACACTGGCACACTGCAGAGGGAAAAAAACAACACTCAGTACAACTGCAGAAAAATTAACAATTAACAGGCTGTGAGAAATGCTGCTGATCTTTTATCAGTGGTCTTTATGATTACTTCAGATTATAAAAGTATAGTATCTGTAGTATATTAACCATGACTTACATATATTCGAGGCTGTAACTGGAGACTTTTTAAGATAAAATACTGGTAGACATTTGGACTGTGTTCAGAGACTATGATGTGTTATTTCATGTCTTCAGAAGTCACTTCAGGTCATTTTAGTAAAGTAATTCAAAGCTCATTTAAAAATGTTCATAGCACTACATTTGTGAAGTCTCATATTTCAAACCAAATTAAAAATACATATATTTTATCCCTTAAAAAAGTCCTAAATTCTTTATATACGAAGTTTAAAAATGAGACAATCAAATTTCATAAAGCCATAATTACAGTCTGCATGACAAAAACTGACCCTGGAAAGTTAAAAACAAAATTACAGTTGTGGTTTTGGTCCCACAAGTGTCACATTTCATTTTAAACCCTATGTTAAAACAACTGACAACCCAGCAAGTCTCTCGCTGCTTTAAGGAAAATCTTAAAAGGAATCTTTTATGTGCTATTGAAAAGAATTTGTCTCTCAATTTGTAAAACCAAACAAATTTTATGTAGTAATGTTTATTGGTGCAAGGCATTTCAGAGGATTTAAATCAGAAATACGAAGATTGCAGTTTCATCTGTACTAAAGTGTTACTTATTTGAGATCTAAAATAGTCTAAATAGTCCTTTCAGTGGAAGGACTGCTGTTCAAGGTGGACAAAGACCTGGTCATGCATTATTTTTGGGACTAATCAGCAGTATTTTGATGCCATTGATAGAACTAAACTTTATTTAACCCAGAACATTCCTTTAACAAGAAGCAAAAACACAGGGTATCAAGTCAGTGAACTCTGAATTTAACAAATGTGACCCTGGACCACAAAACCAGTCATAAGGGTCAATTTTTTTAAAATTGAGATTTATACATCATCTGGAAGCTAAATAACTCAGATTTCTATTGATATATGGTTTGTTAGGATAGGACAATATTTGGCCAAGATACAACTATTTGAATATCTGGAATCTGAGGGTGCAAAAAAATCTAAATATTGAGAAAATCGCCTTTAAAGTGGTCCAAATGAAGTTCTTAGCAATGCATATTACGAATCAAAAATTAAGTTTTTATATATTTACAGTAGGAAATTTACACAATATCTTGATGGAACATGATCTTTAGTTAATATCCTAATGATTTTTGGCATAAAAGAAAAATCAATAATTTTGACCCATACAATGTATTTTTGGCTATTGCTACAAATATACCCAAGCGACTTAAGACTGGTTTTGTGGTCCAGGGTCACAAATGTTCATGTGAACCCAAAAGTACAGTTCTTGAGCATCTTTCAAGCTGATATACAACCACATAAAATATATGTGTGGTAAAAAAAAAAAAAAAAGGTGCAGCATATATTAAAGCGAAGTGTGGATCTTTTGGAGCACACTGCAGAAAAAGTTGAATAAATAACTCTAAATAAACACTAGTCCTTCTCAAAACTCTTGAGTTGCTGTAAATAGTTGCCATGATTTGCTTGATGATATTTTAAGGATCAATTCTGTTTGAAGTTGACTTTTTTTTTTGTTCATTGCCATTTTCTTATCTCTAAGGAAGCCTACTGTATGCAGTGAAGCTAAAAAAGCTCAGTACAGTATTCTGCACATTGCAGAATCCCTCAAGGGGTTACAGTAAATAACTGTTGTGGTGAATGTTGAGTAGTGTCACAATAATTGACACAGTGTCATTGGTGTTATCAAACAAACATATACAGCTCTCATAAACACGCTCATGGCAACAAAACTTCAATAATCCCGTGGTGCCTCCCCTCAGGATATCCACAAAGTGTTCACCAAATTCAAATTTAGTAAAAAAGCAACCTCAAATCTAGTGATTTACAGGGCGGCTGAGTCACAGAGTGTTTCTGAGGGGAATACAGTCTGTAATTGACACAACAGCTGGAGTCTGAGGCTGTAGCGCTGGTACTGGACCTGCGGTCGGGACTGAGAACATTACAGACCCTGACAGCAGTAAAAGTGAGCGCTTTACTAAATCAAGAGCCACCCATCAGTGTAACTGCTGGATTAACACTCAACAGGACTGAAATTTGAAACACAAACAACTCTACTGCTTTACTTCAGGATGGCCTGAGCAATCATGCTGAATTAGAGTAGCATGAACATAATATCGTAATGGAGACATTCTGACTTCAGCACAACCTCTGACCTGAGCAGCTGCTGGAAATCTATGTATAGCTGTGAGGCCCAGCCATCTCGTCTGGTGAGGTGAAACTACTGACCTCCTAAAAATGGGGGCAAAGAGAAATATCCCTTCTATGGGGTATCCCGGGGTTTAAAGCAACCGTTTTCCCCCTTATTTTCTGCTTGAGCCCACCTGCTGCATATTGTGATAACCCGTATCAGGTTACACAAACACCTCGCAACAATGCCCTCACACATCCACATCCACCCAGAGCACACACATGCCTGCACACAGGGGGAATGGTTTCCAGATGTGCCAGCAGCAGAAAAAAGACACAAGCTGAGCAGAAGGATAGTGAGATTGGTGCCGTTTACTTTGGAAAGGCAGGAGGAAGGCATACAGATAAGGGCAAAACATGATGGTCAGTGTCTTTGTCCTCTTTTGAGACGTCCAGTAGCTCTGTAGACTCAGTAGCTGGTTTGTTTTGTCCAGCAGCCAACATACTCTCTGCCTCGACAGGGCATAACAAGAACTCTAATATCATCAGAAATACACAGCAAAAAAAGAAATTGTGGACCCATGCATACATATGCATATACATACATACTGTATACACACACACACCTTAGTTCATAATTGGTTACACCTTCGTTCATGAAAATCTTCTCCAGAGTGCTCAGGACCTCAGACTGGGCCAAAGGTTTACCTTCCATCAAGACAATGACCTGAAGCACACAGCTAAAATAACGAAGGAGTTGCTTCACAACAACTCTGTGACTGTTCTTGAATGGCCCAGCCAGAGCCCTGACTTAAACCCAATTGAGCATCTCTGGAGAGACCTAAAAATGGTTGTCCACCAACGTTTACCATCCAACCTGACAGAACTGGAGAGGATCTGCAAGGAGGAATGGCAGAGGATCCCCAAATCCAAGTGTGAAAAACTTGTTGCATCTTTCCCAAAAAGACTCATGGCTGTATTAGATCAAAAGGGTGCTTCTACTAAATACTGAGCAAAGGGTCTGAATACTTAGGACCATGTGATATTTCAGTTTTTCTTTTTTAATAAATCCGCAAAAATGTCAACAATTCTGTGTTTTTCTGTCAATATGGGGTGCTGTGTGTACATTAATGAGGAAAAAAATTAACTTAAATGGTTTTAGCAAATGGCTCCAATATAACAAAGAGTGAAAAATGTAAGGGGGTCTGAATAATATCCATACCCACTGTATATAAAAACTATGTCAGAAAAAGCCTTTTGATAACTTTACAAGCCTGTTCATCAAATGTCACAACTAATCAAAGGTTTATATACACTACTGTTCAAAAGTGCCAGTGAGATTTTGGCTCAAACTCAATCTCTTATTTTTTTCAGAAGGTTTACAAGAAATTTGTAAAATCATCTGTGTCATTTAATCTGTTCTCAGGAAGCATAAGACAGCAAAAGACACATGAAGCCTATATGCTAGCCAAGTACATACGCCTACAGCCAATTATTAAAAGCATCTGGTCTGATTCCTTTAGTCAAAATATCCTGATAACACAAGGGCAACAGAATGGACTTCTGACAGTTGGATTTAGTATGTTGATTACGTTTGGTTAGGAAAACACATTAGTCTTCTCTCCAAACACTGATCCGTCCTTTAAATGACACCTAAACTGATAAGACTCTTGACAGCCGTATCCACCCCCATAAGAGGGGAGTGCTGGGGATTTCTGTTCATCTTTATCTACAGCCGAGGAACTCCAGAACCCCTAACAGCAAGATGTTCTAAGGCTCAAGTCTCTAAATAAGCAGTCAACAAAATAAAACAACACTCACAGATTCACACGCTGAAAGGATCATCCATTTTTATCCAGTCAAGGAGGGAGAAGCCATATACCTGTGTTACTTTCAAATTCACTCTCAACTGTCTAAACACCTGCTAACCTGCACTCATACATTCCTCTCATTGTAGGAGGAGGGATTTGAGCCTGCAGACCCGGTTCTAGCAGCGATGTGGTTTAGTGGATCTGATCTCAGCAGCATTCAGGTGTCTGTCTGATTGGGGCGCTGAGTGGTTTGGCAGGCAAGAGGGTGTGGATATAAAGTTGTCGAACTAGTTTTGCAGAAGCCAAGACAAAAAGACTTGCTCATATTACAAAGACAGGCAAAAGATATGTTTGAAAGCATTTATGCATACTTTAAAAACATGATACACCCGTTTAAAAAAAATAAAGATAGAGCAGTCACAGCATGCAAACCAGACAGAGACACTGAGATGAAACAAAACAAAAACAAGTGGTTGACAGACTATTGAGCTGAGAAAATAAAAAATAATCAAATAAATATTTTTAAGTCTTTTGTAAATTCATGATATTGCTCAATTTAATGTGTCCTTGCTGAATAATATTTTCTTTTTAAAAAATTACATATATATAATGACATAGTTGTAGTGTAGTTGTATGTATGTATTTTACATACATACAACCGGTCAAAAGTTTGGGATCAGTAAGACTTGTAATGCTTTTTAAAGAAGACTCTTATGCTCATCAAGACAGCATTTATTTGATCAAAAATACAGAAAAAAAAACAGTAATCTTGCAAAATGTTATTACAATATAAAATACTGGTTTCTATTTTAATATCCTTTAAAATATAATTTATTTCTGTGATGCAAAGCTGAATTTGCATCAGCCATTACTCCAGTATAAAGTGTCACATTATCCTTAAGAAATCATTCTAACATGCTGATTTATTATTAGAATTATCAATGTTGGCAACAGTTGTGCTGCCAAATATTTTTTTGGAAACTGCGATACTTTTGTCAGGATTCTTTGATGAATAAAAAGTTAAAAAGAACAGCATTTATTCAAAATATAAATCTTCTCTAACAATATAAATCTTTGCTATCACTTCTTAACAATTTAACACATCCTTGCTGAATAAAAGTTTTAATTTCTTTCAAAAAAAGAAAGAATAAAAATGTACTGACCCCAAACTTTTGTATATTGTTAGAAAAGAATTCTATTTTAAATAAATGCTCTTCTTTTTAACTTTTTATTCATCAAAGAATCCTGAAAAAAAGTATCACAGGTTCCAAAAAAATATTAAGCAACACAACAGTTTCCAGCACTAATAATAAATCAGCATATTAGAATGATTTCTGAAGGATCATGTGACACTGAAGACTGGAGTAATGATGCTGAAAATTCAGCTTTGCACCACAGGAATAAATTAGATTTTAATGTATATTCAAATAGAAAAACTTTATTTTAAATCATAATAATATTTCACAATATGAAATTTTTCCTGCATTTTTTATCAAATAAATGCAGCCTTGATGAGCAGAAGAAACTCCTGTAAAAAACATAGAAAATAATTCTGATCCTAAACTTTTGACTGGTAGTATATACAGTGGGTACGGAAAGTATTCAGACCCCCTTAAATTTTTCACTCTTTGTTATATTGCAGCCATTTGCTAAAATCATTTAAGTTAATTTTTTTTCCTCATTAATGTACACACAGCACCCCATATTGACAGAAAAACACAGAATTGTTGACATTTTTGCAGATTTATTAAAAAAGAAAAACTGAAATATCACATGGTCCTAAGTATTCAGACCCTTTGCTCAGTATTTAGTAGAAGCACCCTTTTGATCTAATACAGCCATGAGTCTTTTTGGGAAAGATGCAACAAGTTTTTCACACCTGGATTTGGGGATCCTCTGCCATTCCTCCTTGCAGATCCTCTCCAGTTCTGTCAGGTTGGATGGTAAACGATGGTGGACAGCCATTTTTAGGTCTCTCCAGAGATGCTCAATTGGGTTTAAGTCAGGGCTCTGGCTGGGCCATTCAAGAACAGTCACAGAGTTGTTGTGAAGTCACTCCTTCGTTATTTTAGCTGTGTGCTTAGGGTCATTGTCTTGTTGGAAGGTAAACCTTCGGCCCAGTCTGAGGTCCTGAGTACTCTGGAGAAGGTTTTCATCCAGGATATCCCTGTACTTGGCCGCATTCATCTGACCGCACCCTGCAGCTAAAAAACACCCCCACAGCATGATGCTGCCACCACCATGCTTCACTGCTGGGACTGTATTGGACAGGTGATGAGCAGTGCCTGGTTTTCCCCACACATACCGCTTAGAATTAAGGCCAAAAAGTTATATCTTGGCCTCATCCGACCAGAGAATCTTATTTCTCACCATCTTGGAGTCCTCCATGCGGGCTTTCATGTGTCTTGCACTGAGGAGAGGCTTCCGTCACTCTGCCATAAAGCCCCGACTGGTGGAGGGCTGCAGTGATGGTTGACTTTCTACAACTTTCTCCCATCTCCCGACTGCATCTCTGGAGCTCAGCCACAGTGATCTTTGGGTTCTTCTTTACCTCTCTCACCAAGGCTCTTCCCCCCCGATAGCTCAGTTTGGCCGGACAGCCAGCTCTAGGAAGGGTTCTGGTCATCCCAAACGTCTTCCATTTAAGGAATGGAGGCCACTGTGCTCTTGGGAACCTTAAGTGCAGCAGAATATTTTTTGTAACCTTGGCCAGATCTGTGCCTTGCCACAATTCTGTCTCTGAGCTCTTCAGGCAGTTCCTTTGACCTCATGATTCTCATTTGCTCTGACATGCACTGTGAGCTGTAAGGTCTTATATAGACAGGTGTGTGGCTTTCCAAATCAAGTCCAATCAGTATAATCAAACAAAGCTGGACTCAAATGAAGGTGTAGAACCATCACAAGGATGATCAGAAGAAATGGACAGCACATGAGTTAAATATATGAGTGTCACAGCAAAGAGTCTGAATACTTAGGACCATGTGATATTTCAGTTTTTATTTTTTAATAAATCTGCAAAAATGTCAACAATTCTGTGTTTTTCTGTCAATATGGGGTGCTGTGTGTACATTAATGAGAAAAAAAATTAACTTAAATGATTTTAGCAAATGGCTGCAATATAACAAAGAGTGAAAAATTTAAGGGGGTCTGAATACTTTCCGTACCCACTGTATGTATGCATGTATGTGTATATATATATTTTTTTTTTAAAGAAAATATTCTTCTTCAGCAAGGACACATTAAATTGAGCAATATCATGAATTTACCAAAGACTTCAAAATATTTATTTTATTATTTTTATTTTTTATATTCTCAGCTCAATAGTCTGTCAACCACTTGTTTGACAGTGGTAGTTGTAGTATGCCACTACCAGACATTTATATATATCTGTCTGGGCAGAGGTTCCACGGCATAAAGAGGAAAAGGGTCAGTGAACGCATGGAGTGAAGGATGCAAAGGGGTTAAAGTGCAGGAAAAAAAGAGGCTGCTTTTTCTCAAGGGAACTGGGGTATAGAGACGGCATTCCCAAGACTATGGCAAGAGAACTACCAGAGCTAAAACACATCCACAGGAACTGATAAAACCAGAGTGAAAACAAAGAGAGCTCGAGATTTCACAATGTTTTGGGGAACTAGTACTGAAAACAAACTGAGGAAATGAATACACTGTTGCTCACAGGCCAAGTTAAAAGGACATAAACCCAGTGGGAAAAACATGGCATAGTAATCCACAAAAGCATAGACATTAGTTAATTGGGTGATACAGAACGTATGGTGGTCTAATAGGGTCTTTGTTCTATAACCAGTGCTTGTTTAAGCGTAAAAATACAAATGAAAACAATGAAAGCTTTGTGTACAGAATGGGAACGGAAGGGAAATCATCATCAACATTTCCCCCTTCAAAAGAAGCACTGGGTTAAGCTCCTTTATACAGGATTTTTACCTAAGAGACACTGCTGGAGGCAAACAGAGCCATGTGGAAAGGTTCTTTCACCGATGAAAAAAAATGGAATGTTAATCAGACCTCATCTCAGACTTCTCAGCAAAAGCATGCAGCACACGGGATATATCATCAGAATGAGACATCAGAAAATCTAAGACATCAGAATGGGAATCAACAATCAAGTCCACAATGATGTGACAAATTTTGGAATCTTGTGCATCATAAGAGCACAAATCTTCCAAAATGAATGGTCTGCAATGTACACACATGTGTAACTATGATGCATGTCGGGCAGGTCTTACCCTCCTGGACTCGGGGAAGGTTGGACTGATCCACTTCCAGCTCTGCCATGACTTCTGACACTGCTCAACAACTCATGCCATTCAGCAACACCTAGCCTCATGAAAGAGAGACTCTGGTTAGAGCTAGACTGACTGGGCCAAAGTAGTTTATTTGGTCACTGTGAGTGTCCCAACAGATACACAGTTCAGCACTGGCTCATTAAATATGATTACTTATCAGACTATAATTTACTGCAAAGACAAAGTTTTGACAAACCACTGCTAAAATATTTGCATGTTACAACACATTTTATTAACATTTATTCATGCACTATTTATAATATTAATAAAAAAGAAACAAAATATCCTCTTTAGAAATCACATGTAAAACAAAAGAAATAACAGGAATAATGAGTTGTTGTATGAAAACACCTGCAAAATAATAAAAAAGAAATATTTAACTAAAAATAAAAAGTACTGGTTTAAGAAATCACCAATAAAATAAAGTTTACTTTAAGTAAAATTAAATAAGGTATTCCTTTAAACCACTTGCAATATAAAAAATAAAATAAAAGCCATTTCTTAAAGAAGTCACCTGTAAATAAATGCAAACATAACCATAATAAATAGATGATTTAAAGAGTAAATACATTACTAGTTTAAAAGTCATTTAAATTTAGACGTAAATGACAACAACAACAAAATTTAAATAATTAAATAAATAATTAAAATCGACTCCATCAGAGCATAAATTGTGTTGTGCTATAATACACAACAGAAAGCATGAACAAACACTGTGTGAAGACCAAATATACGACAACGCAGCTAATGCAAAAGAGCCCCGAAACAAAACAAAGCGAAACTACAACAACCAAAAAACAAACGAACCAGCAAAAGTGAAATGAATGGGGACAGTGCGGTAAATTGATCTTCACATTCCTAACGAATGATTCATCAAACACTAAAAACACGCTTCACTACTACAGACACCGAACAGCTTACCTGCTCTGCGCGCTTCTCTTCACTCCAAACGCTCAAACTACTTGTTGCATACTAGGGCTACTCGAAAAACTCTCACTTCTCATAAACTCATACTTGGATTTGGCAGTGTCTGAAACAAGCCTTACCTATAATTACCCAGTTTCAAAGTTTCCGACTAGACAGACTGTTTTTGACAACGAGACAATGGCATGAGCTTCCACAGGGATGGGAAGCCAGCGCGGACAAACTTCACGCTCCCTCCCTCGACCAGCGCTCATTACATTACACTGGTGCATCCAATCACATCAAACATTAACATAAATATAATTTATTAATGCGTATAGAGGGAAAAAAACGTTGATGCCCTGGTTCACCCTTTAAATATGGCTACTTAGATCAAAAGTCTTTTATTGTTTTTAATTATCGAAATGCACAGAAAGTTGATCAACATTAGGCTACTAAAAAATAATAGCAACTTGTTATTCAGTACATTTTCTCAACTTTATGTAAGGTGAAAATAAAAATATAAATTCAAATGCAAAGTTATAAAGTGCTCCTCAGAGGTGTGGGGATGATATTCTGCCCTCTACTGGCGTTTGAGTCTTACAATTCGTGCATTGTGAAGGAAACTATACAGTTTTGTATTGCATTATGTTATGTGCTGAGTTCAGTGTGCATGGAGTGCACTGTGAATTTATGTTTAATGTTGGGAGCAGTTCAGCCAAGCAAATACCTCATAAGATCAATCTTGCATAGCCTATGAGGTTCACAGATGTAGCCAGACTGTGAGTGACGTACATCCTTTTAAAACAACTCTTCATTTCTCACGTCTACTCTGTCTGATTATACTCCACGCTTTGTAACTGTCAAATGTGCATCACTAATACATCTTTGGCAGTGGGTGATAAATGTCATGCTCTCCTCAGCAGACGGGTAATCTGGACTTTATATCCCAGGAGCTCATTGACATAATGTTGTTGGCGTCAGTGTGGCTGCCTGAATTCCCAATAAAATATTTGTACCTATGCATCAGTTAACCAGGCTTTTCTGTGAATTTAAAGAGATATATTTTCATCCTTTCCAACGAAAAATAACTAGATTCATGGGATAAATATGTCGGCTGACATAAAATAATCTCTTTATGTGTTTTGCTGTCTCAAGAGTTGATAGATGGAGATTTGCACACCTGAGACCCCCAATTTACAAATTCAGTAAAACAGGGCATTGAGATTCAAAGGTGATAAAGCCACCGTGGCTTGCTATACCAGTCATCCTGATTTATTCATGGATATTAACTCAACAGGATCCACATTTTTAAATAGTATTCTCAATAAAAACACTGCATTGATTATGATTCACTCAGCTTTGGAAGAGTGGTGTATATAAGAAAAGAGAGCATTCATCCGCCTCATTCACCAAAGCCTGGTAGGACCTTCAACCTGCTGCAGAGATGATCTGTAACCTGCTTCTGTCCTGCTGCTCTCCTGCAGTCATCTGTTAGCACATCCTGTTACAGACACAGCTGACATGACTTTCAGCAGCCCTGGTGAGTGCATTCAGACATAATGTTTCAGATGTTATTATTTTTTATTTCATTTAATTTATATATTGGATATTTTTCTCCCCTGGCAAAGTTTATTGATTTATTTATATACATTGGATATTTTTTTCTATATATTTTTTCTTCCTATGAATGGATTTATTGAATAATATAATGGTTAAGTGCATTTAGTATTGTTTTTGTCCAAGGAGACAATCTTAGAACAGTCTATCTCTTTTGTGTGTGTGTGTGTGTGTGTGTGTGTAGTTAAGCACTGATACAACACACATTTTCATCGACAACTGCCTTAAATTAGTACACAGGGTGCAAAAATTTAACTACTTTTTTAATGCTGGGGCCAAATAGCAATACTGGCAAATTTGCTGTAACTGATGAAATAACTGCTGTGATTGCTGCTTTAGACTCAGTGGAAGAGGCCGGAGGGGTCAGTCCAGATGATTTCTCTGTCTCTGATCTCAATGATCTCCTGCAGAGGGTGGCAGTCGCAGGATATTCCCCAATGCTCAGCCAAGAGAGTGAGAATCATTTATCTGACACAGACATTTAATCTCAAACGTTACAACGGTACCATCTTTCAGTGTTACTGAAAGTTCTTCTGTAGACGATAAAAGCAATCACTCTTTTGTACCTTGAATGCTCATACTGTTCTTTTCACAGATATCAAAGTGCCTGGGCTTCCTAAAGAAGCACTTAGAGAGGTAAACAAAATAACAATCTCTAAGCATGTAAATAATGCTGTGTTCACGTGTATTATCTTGCTATATTACATTTTCATTGCAAATATATGAGCAACAGCCTCTGTTTCTCTTTTAAGTTACTGTTAGAAAAAAAATTTCCGCATTCCTCCCAGAGGTCTGTGGGGCAGCAGGAGACAGTTCAGGACGAGAGGTGGCGGTGCGGATTGCTTCTGGAAATACTGTGTTTGAGGCAATCATGATATACTGAACTGAGTCATAGGGCTTTTATAGCTTTTCCTACCAGTATGGACTCTCTCTCTCGCTCTCTCTCTCTCTCACACACATACACACGCATGCACACACACACATTGCAGAAGCAAAAATATACAGGACAGAGTTATAAAAATATGTGCAAAACAGTTGCTTCACAGAGAGATTTATATTAACCACTAACATGTAAAATATCTGGGACTTTTTTCTACACATCTTCAGTTTTTATGTGTCTGTACATTTTTAATGACATATATTTCTGGAATATTTTGGATTTAGTGCCAATACTATCTTTATAGAAGAGACCACGTAGCTGTACTTTATAAGACCTATAAATATAAATAACAGCAAAAATAAAATAACCAAAAAAATTAATAAAAAGCCTCCATTCTTTGTCCATAATGTTATTTCATTTCCCCCTTCGAAACACATTTGTATATTTTGTAACTCCTTTTATTTATTGTCTTACAATGAGTTCTTCATGCGGATGAGATTTGTGTGTAAACCTAGTAGCTTTGGATGTATTGATTCAAGCATTTTTGAGACAGATGAATCAAACAATGACTATTCTTCAACCTTGGAGGCTGGACATCCACTTAGCTGGAGAAGACAAACGGTATCTAGATGCATCTACGGACTTACTGAACACACACACACACACACGAAAAATACAAGCCAAAGTTAAGCTATGATATGTGTTAAACACCACTTGTCACTTTTACTCTATTTATATAAAATATAAAGAATATATATTAAAAAATATACACGTTTTTGGTCATGTAAAGGGCACTAAGTACAGTCTTACAAATAAAGGCATCTATGGTGCTATTAAGAACCTTTAACATCCATGGAATCTTTCCATTGTATAAAAGGTTCTTTATAGTGGAAAATTGTTCCAAAATATTCTGAAGTGTACACTAAGAAAAATGGGTCTTTTAAGAATTGATCACTTAAAATGTTTTTGGGAAGACTTAATGGCCTGCTGTTTTAAAAAGATCAGCATGTTAATGGTTATTTACCTGCTGTGGACTCTTGAGGGTAAGGCTCTATGAATTGCTACTCCAAGACGTGGCAGGTCTCTCTTCTCCAGATCCTCAGTATTAGGCCACAGAACCTCGGGAGGGTCCATCAGCTCTGTGTCCTGTTCCTCCTGCTCATTGACTGGAGTCATCGCTCTCAGGAGCTCTATCATCTAACACAGGTCGCACACACACACACACACACACACACACACACAAACGCACGCGCACGCATGCACGCATACAATAAAAGTAGTTCAACATTCCATAAACAAAAACTGATGAATGAGCAATTTCTAATTTTTTTGACTATATGACACTACTTGAGAAATCAATATAAATTGCTTCACCTCTCTGACAGTGTGAGCAGCAGTGTGTACAGGCTGACTGTCACCCCACAAAACACACAGCAGCAACAGACTGACAGCCACGCTGAACGTGCCCTTCATTATATCTGTAAAACGGAACACAATCATAATGATGCACTAATAAATGAGGTCTCAAAAAATTTCATAATTTCATAATAAATACATAAATTACATGATAAAAGAAAATAGTCAATAAATTATCTTTTAGGCATTAAACAAACAAATATATAATAATTGTTAAATAGAATAAATCATATATAAATAAATAGTATACATTTTAATAGTATAACGTGACTTACAATAATAATTATATAATAAAAATATAAATACAAGTAAAACTACTTTGAAATGTGTAGCTCTTTAATAACACATCTACTTAATATATTGTCATTTTATGATGAATTTGTTGTTAATGTATTCATTTATTAAATAAAATGTTTAATTGCTACACACACACACATTTATTATTTCTACTATACAAACACAGAAGTTACAATTTAATATTACAATATAAATTCTTATTATGTACATATACAAATTGAAACATTAAACTTTCAGTTGTTCATATAATGATGTTTTTCTGATATGCATTATATGTACATGTAGAGCTGTATTATTTTTTCTCTACAAAACATACTGTATTATGACATAATGATTAGCACAAACAAGCAAATCAGAACTGAAATAAATGAGAATGATATAACAGTCAAAAATGGCAAAGATGTTGTTCCTTACCTGAACAGCCTCCAGCAATTCCCCGGTGGTTGTTGTTGTTAAGTAGAACACAGAGCTACACTGAAGTCTTCACAATTTATATCCTTAGAGGAGTCTGACCAATAACCACGTGTTTGGAGTCCAGAGGGCAGTTACCTGGCCCATAAACCCAGCCAGTAACTGACCCCATCACTGTCCCCTGTTCTGTTGTCAATAATAAAGCAAAAAATGCCTCTTCAGCACAAGCACAAATGCACACACAGCAGTCATTTCCTTTTCCATAAGCTATCAATCCCATAAGCGTCCACCATTCCTGATCACACAAAATAACTAACCATAGTTTAATCACTGAATTTGAATAGGCCAAGCAGAACCAATAATAATACAATTTAAATGACCTTTTACTAATTCATGATCATGATTCATTAAACATGAATGTCATCATTTGGACCTAAAACTGTCATAGCATCTTCACGAATGTCAGGATGCAGTGTGTTGCAGCGACCAACAGGTGGCCCAACTGAGTCAAATAATTTCACCTGAAATATAATTAGTTGTTAAACTAGTACAGTTTAAATAATTTTCCTTTAGTATAGTTCAGAAAAAGACATTAAAATAACTTGGGAAAAAAAGGCTTTTCTTAAGTTTTCCCCTTTTATTATTTTACAGCAGAAAGAATATAAAGCATTCAGAAAACATCTTTCATATTTTAAGGGCAATTCAAAACATTTTGCATGGCTTCAGCAGCTGAATTCTCTTTTTTAACATATCCATCGATTCAGTGACTCTTTAACATGCACAATTACAAAAATAAATTGCTCAAACCAGGGGGAAGGAAGAAAAACAAAGACATTTAAAAAAAAAAAGAAGGAAAAAAAACGGGTCATTAGGAAGGGAGAGGGCTACATAATTGGAAAAGACAGAGAAAGACAGCTAGAGAGGAGAGGAAAAGTAGATCTAACACTAGTTTAACATGCAAAGTGTAGAGAGCCCCAAGTGTAGCTGTAATAAAGGCAGGGCCGCTATTTTCTGGGTTTGAAAGGGATGAAAACGTGCAGCTCCATGAAGGGGGTGGTATAAGCACTGTCCTTAAACTACTACATTCTTATCTCACAATACTGGCATTTGCATAAGAGTAAGTAAGCTACGTGTGTCCCAACAGATCGCTGTCCCCATTAGGTCTACATGTCTCCACTTCAGGAATTGCTTATTGCTCTGTGCCCATGAGTGGTGGGATGTTTCCTACACTCTTAAAAATAAAGGTGCTTCAAAAGGTTCTTCAAGCGATGCCATAGAAGAACCATTTTTGGTTCCACAAAGAAGCATTCAGTCAAAGGTTCTTTAAAGAACCATCTCTTTCTTATCTTTTTATAATCTGAAGAACCTTCTTTCGCCACAAAGAACCTTTTGTGAAACAGAAAGGTTCTTCAGATGTTAAAGGTTCTTTATGGAACCATTTAGACAAAAAGGTTCTTCTATGGCATCGTGAAGCACCTTTATTTTTAAGAGTGTAGGGCCCTGCTTTCCCTTTTCTAAAGAATGGATGCGCAGGAAAGAAAGTCTCTGCTCGAAGTTGTTGATGTCAAACAAAACTGATGAGGTATCTTCTGTGGGCTGAGCTGTGATACCGTTAAAGCTGAAGCAGAATTGTCAAAATGAACCCGTATGCGACCAGATGAGGTTATTGTCTGGCATTTATCAACTACAGCTACTCTTTTATGTTTTAAAACGTCTATCTATGGCTATAATAAAGTGATGATGTTCATGAATTGATCCGAGCAGCATTTTTCATTATTGTGAGACAGTATATCCACGGCAGTGTGTTTATATAGTGACGGTACGGAGACGCTGCATTGAACGGAAACATCCATGCGTATTTATACAAGCATCAGACGCATTCGAGTAGGCCTGCTCCATTCCAATGGGCTTAATCACTCTTATACAACACCAGTCAGTGCCACGCTTCCAACAAATCGGTTTTATAGACCTAAGGTACATCAACTCAGCTCACATAGTTGATTAAAAAAAGGTGAACAGCATGACATGTTCAGAATCACAGTAATTTGATCAGGACAGTCTGGCTCGTTTCCCAATAAGCAGCAACTAATTCTCAAGTGACTTGCTCTATCTCTCCTTTTCTCCAGTTTGGCACCTGAGTTAAGATACAAAAGTGAACCCGTCAGATTCACACCCGAGGTTTCAACTGCACCAGTGCCATGGACACTTAGCGTGGATATGGACACAGTTCTGTGGTGCATGCTTTCTTATGAGGTACACAGTTTTTTTTAACCTGTTTTTGTGGAGGTGGAATAGTTAAAAAAATGTGAATGTAAATGGAAAGTGGGGTGAGACTGAATTCGAAGAGGAAACAGGAAGCCAAATTCTATTAAAAAAATAAAAAAGATTCATGCTACCCCTGTATATCTGTTTTGACTTTTTGTATTGTAAAGTTACGTTTCGAAGCCCTCGGTCTGTTTCAAGTTCTGCAACCCATGAAACCAGCTGTTATAAAGAACAGTATTTCTTCGACAAGTCTACCTGACTACCAAATCTACAAAAATAAGCATGCTTTGGGTGCTGTTTTTAGCCACCCGGTTATCTATGTTACCCATGCAAGCATAATAAGACTCGAGTTGCCGCCGCAGTGCATCAGCTGACAACCTAAACTGCTACCGGAATGATGAATGCAAGGCAAGAACCAGCCGGACTGAAATCTGCAGTTCTCGCGGGCTCATCTGGCAGTTCCCATAGAGGACGTGAGTTATGACGAATGAAATAACTTACACGGAGAAAGCACGGACAAAGAAACAAGTTACGTAACGGAAAATAAAAAAAGGACAGACTATTATTCACTTCTCGCTAATGCCAGTCCATCGCAAACCTCACATGCAGACTGACACGGCTCGCTGGATTTAGAATATGATCAGGCACTTCCAACATAAGCACTCTGAAGAAAACATTTACATATCATCCTCTTGAACAGAGACGCAAATACAACATATGACAAAAAGCATTTTGATATGAGGGGAAACTGAAATCTACACAATTGTAGTGCATTAGAAATTATTTTCAGGAGCGTTTTCATAGACTTTCCCTTTTTCAAACACCACAGCGACACCTGCTGTTGAAAGTAACATCACTGCAACACTGCTGAAACTGATTGATTTTTGGAGGTCTACCAGGCCCTTGACGCCAATGTTTTAGCACCAAAAGAAACCCGTTTAAATGCATAACAGGGAACCTAAACTTTCAGTCAGTGTAGCAGTGTGGATTTCGAATTAATGAGTTATCTCATTATTTCAGCTTCTTTGTCTTTACTGTCAGCTCACAGGTTTGGTTTTTTGCACATTTTGTGTAATAAGACTGTCAGAATGTTACTTAAAGCTGCATAATGCTGCTATAAGCTCTACTACCTGCATTCATAACAGAAAAACATACTTTACATCATTTCAATGACATAATACAAAAGTATTCAGACTTATGAAACACAAAACAAACAAACATACAGTACAAATAAACCAAATGAGATATGTGATACACTAAGATCCTTCCTGAATACACCACCATCCTTGATCGACTGTGTTGACGGGTTATGCTATTGAATGCAAGTGAATCTGATCACGTTTTACCATGTGATTATCTGTTCAGCAATGATTAACTTCCTTTAAGCAGTAGCATTCACATTACTTGGCACCGTTGGCAAAAAGGTTCTTGGTAGCCCAGAAAAAAACAAACAAACAGATGTAATCATAACCTAATGATCATTTAGCCTTTTCTCCTACCTCATAAATACTGTATTTTTCATAATCGCAGGAAAGTCATGCTTTAGCAAAATGTTCTTCTCAAGAACATTCAAAGTAAAATAAAATACTCTTATAGTGAAATAATTTTACAGAGCATAGCCACTAATGCTTTTGAACTCTTTTTTTGTATCTGTGTTCGTTTTTGTCATGCACATACAGTAGCTTGACTTTATCCCAGGTATTTACACTATGTACAAACGATACAACCATACTTCTTAGGCATTCAAACAAAACTATACAAATATTCAGATTTTGACGCTAATCTGTTTTGATTCCTTTCAATGAGTAAAATAATATATTTCTAAAATACAATCCCGCTTAGATAAATGTTTTACTTTGCGTACCGGCAACCCTCTTTATGTACAGGAACCGCTCAATTGTCAAAAAATATGGATTTGTCTAACCCTGGGTGTGGAGAGCCTTCAAAGTATGTCAAAGATATCAAGGCAATGCATGTAATTTTCCCTTAAACAGCTTAGAAAACCTCTTAAGTTGATTTTCAACTGAAAGAAAGCTTCACCAATGACTGTTTAACATTGGATTAACAAAAGAAAACTTTACAAACTGGCCAATAGTAAATGATGGGCAGAGGTGATGACATTTGGTGTCTCCAGTACATTCATGTAGTTAAAAATTAAAATGCTGTGGCCTAGTTTCAAGCATGCATAAGACAAGTTCTGCCTGGAGCGTTCCATTGCTCTGTGATGTCTTGCTAACTCTGAACTGGCTGAATATCATCAATTTGAAAATAGTTGTTGATTCCACTTGTCTTGTTAGCAAAATAACATCAGCATTTGCCACATCACGCGAGCCTGCTCATTTCCCTCTTTACATTCATCAGCTACCCAGTCCCCTTGTAGCTAAGAGAAGACAGGTGACCGTAAGGGACAGACTGGAAGAAGTTTCTGACGAATTTGTCTGGTTGTGGAGTAAAGCATGTACAAAAACTAATTCATGAATTATTCATCATTTTTGGTAACAATTGTACCCACTAAACACATCTTGTGATCTTTTGAAAACAATGAAATACACTCGGAACAGGTCCGGCCATGATTGTGTCAACTCCATATTTTGTCTCTCTCTCTTTCTTTCTTTCTTTCTTTCCTTTACGAGCCACTGAAGAGCAGGACTTCCATTCCTTTTTTCCTTTTTCAAACAAAACATTTTAATGCTCATCCAAAATGACAAATCAATCCATTAAAAAGTGCAAAAAATGCCACGAAGCAAATGTTGTTCCTCCTAAAACAACGTCCTTAGAGTTTGTTTTGATCCACAGCAGTTGGCTCTTTTCTTCATAAAAGAAACATAGAAGGAATAAAGACATATGAAAAACGCAGTTGTTTAGCAGCCAAAGTATCAGTCATACAGTTATAGTAAGAGTTGCAGTGTTCTTGCTATTTTTTTTCCTCTTGTAAAACGTCTCTGGTTGAAACAGAAAAACTGAAAGGAAGAGTCTGGAGAGAGTAATGTCACATTGTGAGGGGGCTCTTCTGGACGCTCTCATGTTCCCTGGCCTTTCTCAATTCTCTCACTCTGAAAAACAACAGACAGATATTGAGGGACACTGATCGAACATCTCACATCTCACATCTCAAGTCAATTTAGCATTTATCTCAGAGAGCAGAGAAGGTCAGATCAAGCCCTAGTTAAAAGAGTAGTTATTTCTTGTGTAGAACACAAAAGCAGATTTTTAGCAGAATGTCCAAGCTGCTCATTTCCATACGATGAAACTGAATGGCTGTCCCTGTCATACAGTGTATAGAAATAGTGCTGTCAAACGATTAATCGCATCCAAAGTAAAAGTGTTTGTTTACATAATATGTGTGTGTACTGTGTATATTTATTATGTATATATAAATACACATACATGCATGTATATATTTAAGAAAAATGTTTTGTTTATATATAAAATATTTATATTTATATATAATATAATTATATATGAATATAAATATATATATATACACACACACGTAAATATTTTTAAAATATATACATGTATGTTTGTGTATTTATATATACATAATAAGAGTACACACACATATATTATGTAAACAAACACTTTTATTTTGGATGCGATTAATCGCAATTTATCGTTTGACAGCACTAATAACACAACCTTGAGATTCTTCTAAACATCTCTTTTTGTGTTCCAAAGAATAAAAGAAAAAAAAGTCATACAGCTTTGGAACAACATAAGGTCAAGTTTTGGGCAAATGATCCCTTTAAACAGAAAAAAACATCTTTAAATATCCAGCACAGTGTGTACAATACATTTTTGAAGATTTATTGTTATGAGATTGCATGGTTTACGTGGAACACTTAACCAGCTAAAAGCTGCATTTGTTTTTGTAATTGCATTTTGTAATTGCATTTGCAAATGTAATTTGTTCCAGTGATGGAAAATATGAATTTTCAACATCCGTACTCCAGTCTTCAGTGTCACACGATTCTTGAGAAATCATTCTAATATACTAATTTAGTGCTCAAGAAACATTTCTTCTTGAAAACAGTTGAAAATATTTAAAATATTTGTGCTGCTTGAATTTTTTGTGGAAACCAGTAGTGTATTTAATTTAATATAATCATTTTTATAATAATATAATTTGTATGAAAGAACACTCTTCTTGCCAGTGCTCTATGCAAAAGTTCTCATAGATCTTCACTGAAGATTTGCCCCATTTTCATCATTGCTTCACCTTGCAAGTTTCTGGAGTAAGTAGATATATAGGACAAAAAGCTTAAAATAGTGTGCATTTCATTTAATACAAAATCAGTCTGAAACCTTATCTTGTCTCTTTTGACAAGAAACTATAGCTGTCTGCTGATTATTCTGTCTACTTCCTTTTGAAATATGTTGCTCAAACATGTGATGAAATATAGACCAACTTAGTTTTTGTACTATGCTTTGATATTTATGTACACAGATATCATATCTACAACCAAACAATTAAAGAGAGATAGACAGATACTGTAGACTGTCAGTTCCCACTGCAGCATGTGCAATAAAACAGGCTTTAGCTGAGCTAGTCAGAACGAAAACACACAAGCCAGAGAGGCAGTCAGTTTTCTCTGGGTCACATATTTCCCAGCATGCCTTAGAGCAAGACTCATTATCATATATTCATGCAACATCATTTAAACCAAACAACCTTCTGTTCTTCCGTCTATCTTATCTTTTCCTCTTTACATATACAGGAAAGTAAAGGAAACTTAAATAATCAAGACAGGAGAAAAAGGTGCTTGTTTTATGTAGTGTCTCAGTTGTTAGTGTATAGCAAGACACAACCGATATCCTGAGGCCGATCATATGCTGAGGCCCTTGATCTCAGTCATCTCTGCGTCCAGTTGGTAGCTGTCATGCAAGCAGGCATCAAGCAGTGGTGATGAAGGAGGGCAAGAAGGAGCAAGAGAGGATGGGAAGGGGGACTTTGTGTGTGTGTGTGACGAGCAAGAGGGAGAGAGAGAGAGAGAGAGAAAAAAAGGGAGACATACTGAATCGCTGAGGCTGCACTCACCCGCTTGAATAGTCTATGGTCCATCAAGGGGCTTTGCATTAACAGCAAAACAACACCAGACAGCTATTAGCACACAGCAGATATCATGATGGAGAAGGAGGGCGAGGAAAAAGAGGCAAGGGAAGGGAGGAGCACCTCTCACTAAACCACTCATGATTAATGAATCACACTTTCAAGGAAGAAAATAAGTTCAGTTTTAACACCAAAAAAAAAAAGATGGAAACAAAACATGAAGCTTTCCAAGTGTCACATTTGTATCAGCAGTGTTCCAGGTAGCGGATGAATGGCATGGCCAGTAGGGAGCAATGTGGCAGTGGGAGAATACCTGTGGCGACAATGGCGGAGGAACCTCATGATCTTGCGGGCGGCCTGATCCTGCCTCTTAGTGAGAAGACTGCTTCTGAAACAGAAACATCGCAATTAAACACATTTAATTTTGCACATTACATCTTGTACATGGATGAAATATCTTGCAGGGCAAAGCTCAGAACAGTATGCCACTTGGAACAGATTCATAAGAGCTATTGGCTGAGTACAAAACATCAAACACCAGTTGGAATCAGATTTGGACCAAATTAAGAGGGAGTGATTAATCACAGGGCAGTGTATTGAGTGCTACCTGAGTTTGTGCTGGACCTTTGCTGCGGTGGCCGCTCTGCGGTGGGGCCTCAGCCGGCCAAACTTCCTGTAGCTGCGGTAGCACTGCTGGATCAGCACAGCCGCCCGCCGGCTCTGCTGGAACTTCTTCTGCTCGTGGTAGCTGCGGAACTTACTCTGGATAAGGATGGCGGCCTGCGTCATCTTCTTATAAAGTGCATACTGATATATAAACAGACATTAATGGAAACATTAATGACAAAAATTTAATTGCTCCCTATTCACCTCACATTGGCCAGATACACACTGCAAAGTTTAGAAAGTGACAACCACATTTAAACAACATGAGGGTGAGTAAATGATGCCAGAATCTTTGGGTGGATTATCCCTTTAAGTGTAAACCTCTAAATGATCACACCAATATGCAGTATGTTTATGAGTTACTCCCTAAATTGCAATGATTGACAGAGTGATAATTGTAAAATGTGAGACAAAATCTTAATATAAAGGCAACATGTTGTTTCCAAAATTGAATTATTGACTTCTGTATTGTTACTCTGAAGCCAATGCAGATTACTAAAATATGATCTAGAAAATATTGACTTTGTATTAAGTTCAACCTATTATTATGTAATATTAGATGCATAAACCTGAAGATAAACTATTAGATTCAAATGTATGTTTATAGTGCTTTTTACAATGAATATTGTTCTATTGAATTTACAGTTTTCTGATTTACAGTTAACTGTGACAGCTCTGAAATACATTTTGTATTTCTCATTTGCATTTTGTACCCTCTCATATTTTCTGTGGACCCCCTAAACACTCTTGCAGCCATCTGGGGGTCTCCAGTAACAATCTGAAAACCCTTGGTCTAGCACAGGGGTCTCCAACCTTTTTGTAAGTGAGGGCTCCCTAAAGGGATAAAATAGTGTCAAGGGCTACTTGTTTGATATACTCCAATACATATATACATTATATATAT